TTTTTTTTTGTGGGGATGGACAAAAATGCATAGAATTGATAAAATTAGGGCAAAAAATACTTTTGAGGGGGGGGGCAAAATGCCTAAAATACTCAAAATATTCCAAAAAATCTCCTATAAATATTAAAAAAAAAAAAATTTTGAGGGTGGGCATTTTTGGGTGGATCCGCCCATGGTCGCCCAAAAATGGCAAAATAGCTCTAAGAAAATCTCCTATACTCATTCAAATGATGCTAGGGTGGATCCGCCCATGGTCGCGATCCTCACTAGCTCTACATAGAGCTAAGTTTGGAAAATCTCAGTGATTTGCGCATTCGAAATTTTTTGCTCCAAGTTTTATATTAGCATCATTTGCATGTGAGGATGCTAAAGCATTTGGTGTGGAAGATTTTGGTGAAGAAGAATTTGGGGATCCATCATTTGATCACATAAATTTACATGATGATTATTTAAATCTTCAGGAGTGTTTTTAGTTTTGAATTTTTTGTTTAAACCGAGATATAAGCAATTGAATGAGAACTATTATTTTTTTATCACTATATTATAGATCTGTGAATTCATTGTCTTAAAATTTTAATACTATATATGCAGTTTGATTATTATGCTTCATTTTATGTTACTTTTATTACGTATAATTTAATTGACATTCAATTTTTTTTTTCTAGAGAATGATAATTGAAGATTTCGTGAAAAAATTATATGCGAACCTATGAAAAATAGGTCTGATACGTTATCAAAAAATTATCTTGATCGGAAACGAATCTCGAGGCAAAATCAAACCGGAAAACTTAAAAGATTAAATTTGGGATCGCCTGAACTCCAATTTCAGCAACTTATAGTCGAACTGAGCATCTCGGAAATACTAACCCAACGACACCAAATTCGACTCAATCCGAGCCCAAATAAGTCCAAACCAAAGGTTAGAAGCGCTGTTGGAAGGTTTGAACAGCAATTTGGATTACCAAAAGGTCTCTAAACATAACGAGCTTATGCTCGAATCGAGCGGCTCGACGAGATGAATCCAACGAGCCCAAGATCACTGAATTCTGAAATCATTAAGGCCTCCAAATGTCTGATGAACGGTCCATAATCAAGGATTCAATATCGGCCGTCCATCCAACCACTCCACATTTACCCTTGATATCTCACCTATTTACGGATCATGACACTCCATAAATCTATAAATAGAGCTCCCTCTCCTCTTAAGAGGGGATCCCGAAGCCTAAGGAAAAAAAAAAGAGATCGGAGATCGCTCTTTCTTCCTTACCTCCCCGACCACCGCCGGAATTTCACCGGACCACCGCCGAAGTTCCGTCGAACCACCGCCGGAGTTCCGTCGAACCACCGCTGGTCCACCACCGCCGGACTTCTGCCAAGCCACCACTTAAGGCCCTCACCTCCGCCGGACAACCGCCTGACGTCGTTGCTCCGCCGAACCACCACTTAAGGCCCTCACCTCCGCCGGACCACCGCCTGACGCCGTTGTTCCGCCGAACCACCACTTAAGGCCCTCACCTCTGCCGGACCACCACCTGATGCCATTGCTCCGCCGGACCACCACTTGAGGCCCTCACCTCCGCCGGACCACAACTTAAGGCCCTCACCTCCGCTGGACCACCGCCTGACACCGTTGCTCCACCGAACCACCACTTGAGGCCCGAACTTCCACCGGACCACCGCTTGAGGCCCTCTGCTTCACCAGGCTACCACCTAAGGCTCGGACTTCTGCCAGACTGTCACTTGAGGCCCCGAGCTCCACCAGGCCACCACCTGATGCCCGGAGTTCTACCGAAGTACCACCTTATACTACGGTCTTTTAGACTCATATTTCCTGCCGACTACAGTCCTCCCGACCTCCATCGCCTTCTATGGTCACTCCGACCTCCATCTCCAGACAACGGTCTTTCAGACCCCGGTCTCCTGCCGACTACGATCCTCACGACCTCTGTTGCATACTACGGTCCTTCCGATCTACATCGCCAGACAATGGTCTTCCTGACCCCAATCTCCTACCAACTACGATCTTTCGGACCCCTGTCTCGTGCTAACTACGGCCCTTCCAACCAAAGAAACATGTATATTATTGTAACTCCCTCTATGTAATGCGCTCTATATGATGTACATTTGTACTATCAAGCCAAGACCTTCTCCAAAGGAATGACCTCATTTGTAATCGACTGCAAATATTAGTGGATTCATTCAAACTGGGCCAGCCCCCGTGATTTTTCTTCGTTTTCAGGGTTTCCACATAAAAACTCTGATGTCTCTTATGAACGCTACACTCTCTCTCTTATCTGATTGTGTGCTGGATCTTCATACAATGCTAAAACGTTAATTATATATTTTCTCTACCGCGGCGAATACTCTAGGACGCAACAGTTCAGTTACTCAATATTGCATGTCTTCAATTAAAAAAAAAGATAGTTCATTCATGTTTTATATTTCATGTTTATTTATTTTGGTTAATTTTTAATATATTTTTATATGATTACATTATTATATATAAATTATATTATATAAATAAAATTAATATTTATTACATCATCCCGTTCAACCATCCGATATCGGAAGCTAGTTTTAGTTCATTATCAAATTTTCACAACTTACCAAAATCCTTTTATGATTAATCAGCATATATGATATATGCATCGCACTTACAGGACCCTATATGATTTGTTTATAGATTATTCTAACATTGTAATTTATCCCGTGCTGTTGGCTGCTATTTATTTAAAAAAGAAAAAGAAAAACCGGATGCTCCGAAATCCGCAGGTTTCTAGAAACCAGAGCCGCAGAATTGCTGTCCAAGTCTGGAAATTTTACTTTCTCGAGCGACGACTTGACTATACTTCCCGTTACTGGTAAACAAAAATGGCGAAGGATTAATTTATGTGTTCTTTAATTTATACTTAATTTAATATAAATGATTAAATTTTAAAATAATCTCCAATAATTTTTATATAGTTATATTAATCTCAGAATAATATTGTTTCAATTATATAAAATACATTGATCATATTTGAATACTTTAAAAAAAATAGTAAGAAATTTCTCTATATACATAAATATTATTTTTTTAGTATTATCTTCTCCTATAACCTTTTTTAAAATACGTATCATAATATTTGTTATAAAATGTATAAAAAATTATTTATTTACATTAATATATTAAATAATTATCTGAGAAGTGAGAACTGGGCTGCGGCGGCTCACATGGAAATAGGAGTTTCCTCCCTTTTAAACGATCGTGAGGATATATTGCAGACAGAGCAGTTCTACCAATCGAACTTGTGAGAAAGAGCAAAGGAGAAAAAGAGATACAGTAATGTCGAGGACTGCGGGTCAAATCATCAAATGCAAGGGTTTGTAATACGGGAGATTTTTTCTTTTAAATTTAGAAAAAAAAATGAATTTTTTGTTTTCTGATCAGTCTCTGTTTGTGGTTCTTTCATTTTGATCAAGGATATGAAGCTACAAGAATATTAATTAGATTTTTCGTTGTTAGTATACTATTAATCTGAATTGCGTGGACTGGAATCGATAGCTATACCAATTTGAAATTTATTTTTTTATTGTTCTAGCTTTGATTTTACAGGTGATTCGTTTTGTTTTATGGATGATGAGCAAATGAAATTTTTATTAACTTTTTTGAGCAGCGGCGGTGGCATGGGAGGCGGGGAAGCCGCTGGTGATCGAGGAGGTGGAGGTGGCGCCGCCGCAGGCGATGGAAGTCCGTCTTAAGATCCTCTACACATCATTATGCCACACTGATGTCTACTTCTGGGAAGCTAAGGTATAAATATCTTTGATCTGATATATTCAGTAACTATTTGGTTATATAATTTAATCAAGATTTAGGCTATTTCTTACTTTTCTATTATTTTGAGCTAAATCTCAGATTTAGTAAATCCTGCGAATTTCTATGAAAAGTCTGATTTACTGAGATTTGTAAGGAGATCTTAGCAGATTACTAAAGATTGAAATAGTTTATGAGGACTTGACATGATTTAGTAGTTATGTTGAATAACTTTTAGAATTTAACACCATAGGATTTAGTAAATCCGGATTTACAGTAGTGTCTAAATCCTAATTTAGCCAAGTAGTCCCTTAATATTATTCGTATTTGTTAACTGCTTAGTATTTCTTAGAAATGTTTTGATTTTTAAGGATTTAATGAGATTGGCTATGGATTCTGCAGGGACAAACACCAGTTTTTCCCAGGATTTTCGGCCACGAAGCAGGAGGGTAAGGTTGCTTAAGCACTGTTAATCTAATTTTAACTGATATAAGCGTTTATGTTTCAAATTATTAGTCTTCTTTTAGGAATTAAATGTTTTTTTATCACTAAGCAGCTTTATTATTATTATTATTCAGTTATGAAGGGATCAACTCCTTTGAGTGATTCCCAAATAAAAAGAAAAAGAAGAAAAAAAGAATGTTGCTTCGTTATTTTCAGATGGTATAATATATAGTGAACAAATTAGGGGAGCCAAATAGAATATTTTTGTCTTATGTTTATTAGAGGAGAATCAAGGAACGTGATTGAGGGCATGTCTTCATAGTTGGATTTAGATCTTGGAATATTAAAAAATGAAATAAAAATTTAATATGAATTTGAATTACAATTTCTAACAAAAAACAAGAAAGTTATTGCTAAATTGATGTGTGGTCCTATTCTGAAAAGTAAAATAGTGAGAATGTTGTTCCAAATTAATCTTTAGGCTTTGTTTGTGACAATTTTTTTTACTATTTTTATGATAGGAAAAGCAGTCAATGAAAAATAATATTCATTTGAATGACATTTTTTTCACAATTTTTTCAATTTTTATATCTTAGAAGCTAGTTTTGAAAAAATGTATTTGAAATTGTGGTTGAAAAAAAGAGTTTCTTAAAGAAAAGAATGAAAAGTATTAACAGCCCTAAATGAATCCTCAATCTACTCTACAGAAACACTTTATGTCAATTAGCTTGCTAATGCAATGACTTGCTCAGTAAATTATTTGTCTTTGATGCTTGTAGGATTGTCGAGAGTGTTGGTGAGGGTGTGACAGATCTTTCACCTGGTGACCATGTACTCCCAGTTTTCACAGGAGAATGCAAAGATTGCGCACACTGCAAGTCTGAGGAGAGCAACATGTGCTCTCTTTTGAGAATCAACACTGACAGAGGTGTGATGATCAATGATGGGAAATCCAGGTTCTCAATCAATGGCAAACCAATCTTCCATTTTGTTGGAACCTCCACGTTCAGCGAGTATACCGTTGTTCATGTCGGTTGTGTTGCAAAGATTAACCCCGAGGCTCCTCTCGACAAAGTTTGTGTTCTTAGCTGTGGCATATCTACTGGTAGGACATTCTCTTCTATTTCCTCCTCTAGATTTAGAAAGTTGTTTTTGCCTTTGCTGATAATTTTCTTGGTTTGAAGGTCTTGGTGCTACTCTTAATGTTGCAAAACCTCCTAAGGGTTCAACAGTGGCTGTGTTTGGTTTAGGAGCTGTAGGCCTTGCTGTGAGTATATAAATATAAACTAATGCATTTTAGTAACCATATATATAATATTTTATTCAAGGATGGAATTTTTTTTTTCAGTTACCAGTTGAGAGAATACCAATCACGTTCTGAACTGTATAATTGTACATTTTTCTGCTTTATAAACTCATTAATAGACAATGAACATAACTAATCATCTCAGTTTTAGTGGTTTAGCATCTTCTGTTAGTCTCTAATTTGGTTTGATTTATTCTATTGCTTCTATTAGAACTTTTTTTGTTCTATTTACTTAGAATTATAGTCTTATTGTATAAGTTATATTGCAAAAAATTTTATTTCAATGATAAAAGATGAATCTTCTATCTAGTTGCTAAAATTCTCTTGCTCATTGGCGGGGCAAAGACTAATAAATTTCTAGAGTTCCTTGAGTTCAGCATGTCCTCTTTCGTCTTCAATATAATATAATTTGCATATCTGCATGCTTGACTTGATTAGGCTGCTGAAGGGGCCAGGATTGCAGGGGCTTCAAGAATTATTGGTATTGATGTGAATCCCAAGAGGTTCAATGAAGGTAGAACTCTCTCTGACCTGTTTTAGTCAGATGGATCAGTTTATATATATATTGTGAAATGGGGCATTGACGCATATCTTTTTCATCATTCCAGCAAAGAAATTTGGGGTCACTGAATTTGTGAACCCGAAAGATTACGATAAACCTGTTCAAGAGGTTAGTCCTCAATCATTTGATGCTGTGTGTGAAATTCATACAAAATGTTGCAGAAATTCATACTACCTTGTTCTTCTAGGTGCTTTCTGAGATAACCGATGGAGGAGTGGATCGGAGTATCGAATGCACTGGAAATGTCGATGCCATGATCTCTGCATTTGAATGTGTTCACGATGTATCTGTCTTGCTTCCTTGAATGTTTCTTTTTGAAAAGCTCCACATTTCTATGGAATCACTGAGCAATCCATCTTTCTTGTGACTTAAACTTTTAGGGCTGGGGAGTTGCAGTCCTTGTTGGTGTTCCTCACAAAGATGCTGCTTTCAAGACCCACCCCATGAATTTCCTCAGTGAGAGAACTCTCAAGGGAACTTTCTTCGGAAACTACAAGCCTCGCTCTGATCTACCTTCAGTTGTCGAGAAGTATATGAACAAGGTATTATGCCTTTTCTCAAAAACAATTTGTGATCTATTGCAATTGGAGAGTATTGATTTTGAAATTGGTGCAGGAGTTGGAGCTGGAGAAGTTCATAACACATGAAGTCTCATTCACTGAGATCAACAAGGCTTTCGACTATATGCTTCAAGGTGACAGTCTTCGCTGCATTATCCGCATGGATGCTTGAAGACTTTTGATGGTCCTATACTTATTTTTGGTCACCTGAATAATAAATACTTAGTACTATGAAGTTATTGGGTTATTAACCTTATTTATCTTTTTGCCCTTCTATGCCAAGCGTTTTGTATTGTTCTTCATCAGCTTTACATCTTTACGCAGTTGTGGTGAGTAGTATTATCCTTTGTAGTGGTTGTGGAAGAAATAAATTACATTTGCCTTTTATTGCATGAATTGATAATTTGATGACTTCAAAATTTTTGATGGGGTCGCAAAATTAAGTGCTTTTATGCTTTGTTTTGTTTGGGTATATCTATTTGTCTATGAGAATCTCTATATGTACTCTTTCTCCTTGTGAACAATGAAGTAATGTGTCTCGTTAGGATGGTGCCACGTTTTGTTAGGATGGTGCCACGTTTATGAAATAGAGGTCCTCCATCACCATACAACGACCTTTCTGACCACTATTGCCCTCCGACAATAATCTTTCTGACCTCCGTCGCTAAACTACATTCTTTCTTACCACGGTTGCCCATCGACTACAATTATTCCGACCACCATCATCAGATAATGATCTTTCTGAACTCCGTAGTCCACAAACTATGGTCATGCTAACTAAATGAACATGTCAATAATGATTCTTCTAATTCCCACCATGTAATGCGATCTATATGATGTATATTTGCTATATCAAACCAAGGCATTCCTCCCAAGGAAGGGCCTAATTTGAAATTAACTGCAACTACAAGTGGATTCATTCAAATTGGGTCATGCCACATGATTTTTCCTCATTTTCAGAGGTTTTTAAGTAAAAATTTTAGTGTCTCTTATGAACGTTACACCCTCTCTTTTGTGTGTCTAATCAGGCCACAACAAACTTCATTATGAATAATTTAATAATAATTATCATTTAATTTTTGTTTTAATTGATTTAGTGATTTAAGAGTATATTCTTGAGTTTATTCTTAAATAATCTAACTAAAACTCATTATTCTAATTAGTCCGATTAATTAACTTGTAACTTAATTTGTTACTTTATCACTATAATTGTCTTGTCATTTTCAGTAATTAATAACTATTCATTCTTATTTATCAATATATAATTTAATTATTTTACATCAGGGAGCTCTACTTCATACATATTAATCTTCTTTAAGCTATAAATTTATTTTATAAGTGATTTTATTTTATTCTTTATGAGTGGCAACCACCATGTCTATGTATGTTATGAATTCCATTAGGGAGTGTGATCCCGGCCTCTCCACGCCTTCCGTCAATTTTTATTTTAAGTGTTTGTATGGTGACGGCGATAGAGAGTTTTAACGAGATTAGGTTCCGGGGGAATTTTCAGTCTACTTATTTATCATTATTAGCTAAGATTGGAATATTTCTCAAGAAAATAAAGCCCTTTTTTTCATGCAACCAAAATGGTACAGTGTGGGGCTCAAATTTGTTTGAAATTTTTGTTAGGAGAATCTTTAAGAACTTGATCTGAATAGAGTTTGTGAAGGCCAAGCAACCCAACAGGAATCACATGCTGTTTTAGCTATATTTAGACAACCTCAGAGATCCAAAACTATAATCAGCCTCCAATTCTTTATTTGGGCTGAACACTGTGTGGGTGTTCCAATGAACCACATGCGCTTATTAATTGTTCCAATGAAGCAAATCCACATAGATGAGATATTTCATTGTAATTTAGGCTTCGTTTGGGACGGCTTTTTTATTGCTTTCTAAAACGGAATTTTAGTATAAAATTTTTTAATTTTGTACTAAAACTCCTTTTTAGAAAGCAATAAAAAAGCCGTCCCAAACGAAGTTTTAGTTTTTTTATTGTTTTTTGAAATATCTTTTTAGTACAAAAAATTTTTTAATTAGAAATTTTTGTACTAGAAAGCTCTTTTACAAAGAAATAAAAAAACTGTCCCAAATGAACCCATAAATTTAGTTTGGAACTTTTTTCTTATTGTTTTATAAAATTGTTTTTTAGTACAAAATTTTTTTAAAAGTAGAGAAAAATTAATGATATAAAGCTGTCCAAACAAAGTTGTTTGGGATGGCTCTCTTATTGCTTCCTAAAGCAGCTTTTTGATATAAAAATTAAAAATTTTGTACTAAAAAACTGCTTTAAGAAGCAATAATAAAGCCGTCCTAAACAAAGCTTTAGTCTCTTTAAATAGAGAATGATGAGTCGAATCAAGTTCAAATAATATAATCAAATGAAAAAGAGAATTTCAGATGGGATTTTATATGGCCATATGGCTATAATTTATGGTGGAGATCATGATTTGTGCTATAGAGTTAGCAAGTTACACAATTATTTAGAAATAAATAGGTTGAATCCATTATAGTTGGATGTGTGTGGGCAAGTTAGGTTTAAGCTGCTTTTTATGCATAAGATATAATTTTGAATAGCCTAAGACTATATAAATATATAATTAATATTGTAAATAATTATTTTTAGTTGAGCTTGCTTATTAAGAAAATAAAATATGCAAATCAAATATAAGATATTTAAAATAAATAATTTGAAATGAAAGTAGGGCTGTTCCTCCATACAAAAAGTTACTTTAACAGCTAACTCCAATCTCCATGTAGATTTCCCATTTTAGACAAGTTACTTTATTTTTTATTTTATTTTATTGTGAACATTCAAACCAATTAAGACAAGCTCATATACACATTGCATACATAAGACTCAAACTCAAGACATTTGATTAGTAGTCAAAGCTCCCAACCAATAGACTAAATTGGGTTGCATATTTACTTTATTTTTTTAGTAATTATAGTTTATTTTTAGAGTAATGACAAGGAGAAATTATTACGTGCAGAATCCGGACTCCAATCAAAATAGACAAATTCGCTTGTACACAAGCTGTGTAATTTATACACAACTTATATATAATTTGTACGTAATAATTTCTTCATAACAAGAAGCTATCACTCTATAGAATAGCACAATATGCGATGCTTGGGTTCAAAAACTTCAGTATGTCATTGTCCTCTTACTTAGAATGCTTTAGAGCTTGCAGAGATTTTTGAAAAGAAAGATGCAAGCATGAATATTTGAATCAATGAGCCAAATAACTAGTTAAATTTAATTTTTATTGAATTTTAGCTGAGAAAGGTAGAATGAATTGGATGAACTAAATCTATCTTAGATCAAATTGACATGTATATTAATCAATGTATCTCATGTACATATTTGTATGCTTGTTGATAGGTATCATAAAAAAACTCCAAAATTAAAGATAGGCAAAACTTATAAAGTCACTTGATATCTTGATGTGATGTAATAGAGTTGAGTTCAAACCCACTTTGAGTCAACTAAACTTAGCCATTGCTCATCAAGTCATCATGGTTAGGATGACATGGCAACCTTCATTTATAGGACTCTTAACTAATTATATTTAGATAATACCTTCTTGACTAGTCAAACCCAAGCCTACATGTCGTAAAATCAACTAAATTAGCCAATATATATCAAGATCGATATGATATATATTCTTCTTTACATGATCATGTGATTGAAACATCTATGTGGCCACCATTGTAGTACGAACATCTGGAGATTGCTTAGCAATGTTGAAACAAGGGGATGGTGTGAAATGCCTCAGAATTAAATTTGAAAGAATTATCTATTTGATCATTTTAAGATTATACCAAAACTTCTATAAATAATAAATATAAATAATAATCAACAAAAATAACTAAAATCATATACATCAATATATTTTACTATTTATTCATAAAAATTGTCATTTACACTAACCAAGAAATAAATACAATAACTAATCTATGACAGCTCCTGATTACAAAATAAAATCTAAAGAAAATCTAAGGGTCTCTATCAACCTCACTCCAACTGGTACTTATCCGTTCATTGACCTGAAATCATTAAAATTCACATAATGAGCTCAAAAGCCCAGTAGTAATTCAAAATTCACTAAAATTTTCAATGCAATGACTAAAAAATCAATATGATATACTCAATCTAATATAATCAATATATGTCAATTAGTTAATGACCAAATATTATCCATAAAATTTTAAACAATCAAATAATAAAAAGCAACGAAACATTATAATGAATCTATAATCAATAAATTATATAAAATTCAATAAATCGATAAAACAATGGTGCATAAATCATTAAAAGAATTTATCTTATCTAATCATATGAATCATATGTTTATGTATTATCAATGCACCCAATATTTTCAATGATATTAATGTATTTGTCAATGTTATCAGTGTTATCAATGTATGCATGTATCAATATATGATTTGATAAGGTTAGACAACCAACTTCAACATAGTGTTTTCAACATCTTTTATGGAAACTTATTATTAGTTGGTTATCAGTTATATCAATTATCACTTATCTAATTAATCTATCATCATTACAGGTGACTTCATTAAATCAATAATATCTGTAGATGTAATCAGTCATTTGTTGCATGTTATAACTGGGATAACACCGCAAACTATCTTTAAAAGAAAGCCGTCGGCACAACTTCCTGCTTAGGATAATATATTTTAAATTCCAACCCATTTTATAGTGTTGACATCGAACATTTCTTGCTTATGCAAATATCACAATCAAAATGCAATATGAAATAACCAATTTTGTTCAATACAAAAAATTTATATACTAATTAAAATCATTTATAACTAAAATAAGATTTGAGTTACTTAAAATAAATAAAAGAAATCTCTAAACAAAATTAACAGATAAAAAAACACCGAATAAAGTTTTTTTCTTTCATCTCTCTTCTTTGGCAAGGCACGATGCTGAAATTCAAAATTTTCATTTAAAAAAAATATTTCAAAAAAGTTTGGATTATCACATGGCGCACTTGCCGCCTCTATTTTTTTTCCCACCAAAAGTGATCGGAGGATTGTGTTTGAGTTGTGATGATCAAAAGACCATAGGAACTTAGTCGGGCGACGAGGATTGAGAGATCATAGTTGCGTGAAGGGAGATCATAGTATATTTTAAGCGAATTTGATATTAATATTTCTTAAACGAGTCAAATCTAGAATAGCTTAAGCTTAGCTCATTAACTCTTTCAAATTTGGTTCACAAGAAATTTATCAATCAAAGCTCGAGCAAGAAGCTCATGAATCATCTTAAGTACTCTCATGCATGTGCATATGTAAAAAAGTGTAAGATTTTATAAACCTTAAATATGTATGCCCCCTCCTAGGAAAATGCTACTTTTAAATACATAAATATATTTTAAATTTTTTACAAAATCTTATTTAATAAACCTTAACATGGTCTCTCCTAACAAAGCTGGATCAGCCATGTTTTCCCCCATTCTCTCTAAAACAAATTCAGCACATGTTTTCCCCATTTTAAAAAATGATTTCATCAAAGCAATACTGTCATAATACGACACATCGACTAACAGTATACTGAGTTGGAGCTTTTTATCCAATAATCTCCTTTTGCACATTCAGAACACTCCCCTTAACGTGTACCATGTCCTTCCTTAGCACTTTAAATGTCTTCTCCAAAGGGCAAATTATTACGACCGGTGGCGGTCACCTGCGCTTTTGACTGCGCTTTAAGCATGCTTTTGACTGCGCTTTTAGTTGCGTTTTACCTGCGCTTAATTTGAAATAATATTTTATTAATATCCAGACCTATCTCCGTGTCCGGTGACCAGATGCAATAATTTGCCTCTCCAAAGATAACTTTCATCATGGATATCCAAAAAATTATTCTTCAACCATATTACCATCTCAATAATAACATCAGTCAAATTCAATTTGAACCTCCATTTAAAAGCAAATGTTCAAACACTAGGTGCGAACACAGCTACATTGAGGGTTCAAATACAATTCAAAGAAAATTCAAATCTAATTTAAGCTTTGTTTGGGACAACTTTTTTTCTGCTTTCTAAAACGATTTTTTAGTACAAACATTTATCGAATTCATAATGTTTATACTAAACATACTTTAAAAAGCTGTAAGGAAGCCGTCCCAAACGAAGCCTTAATCCTCTATTTCAAAACTAATTGTGGGAAGCTATGTTAGAAAAAAAAATCAAATTAGATTTAAATATCATATTACATGTTCGAATTTTTCTTGAACCTAATTTCGAAGCTAAATATTAGGTTTGAAAAAGAAGTTCAAACAAGGTTTTAATTATAATTAAAAGCTTGGAAGAATTAACATAAATTAAAGAAAACAGGAAGACTACAAACTTTTAATGGTGTTGTAATCATGTAGAATTAACATTAAACTAGGCTTTACGTCCAAACAAATAGCAAATTCTCCTCTCCTGTGTGGGAACTGGGAAGTATATATCGCTAATCTTGATGCATTTGCCAGCAACATAATGAACTTCGAAGTTTGCACCGCATCTTAGGCTTCGTTTGTTTTTTTGGTGCTTTTATAAAAGACAGTTTTAAAAAATATTAGTTCAGAAAATAGAGTTTTGTAACGGAGAAGCATTTATAAAAAGCTTTCTCAAAACTGCAGAAAAATGAAAAAAAAGAGTTATTGGGAACGTGATTTGATGAACCAAATAACACAAAAAAAAATTACTCCGTTCCCGAAAACGGAAAAGGCAAAAAAACGCTCAAACAAACAAAGCCTTAGACTTCATTTGGGATGGCTTTCTTACTACTTCATAAAGCAGCTTTCTAGTACAAAAATTTTACTAGAAAGCTGATTTAAGAAGTAGAAAGAAAGCCGTCCCAAACGAAATCTTTTAAGTTACAATATTGGACATGAGAAATCTGCGAGTATAAATAGCCCCCTGCTTTATCTTTTTGATTAGGAACTGTTTTCTACTCTATAATTCTTAAAAGAGCATAACAAAAGCTTCTATAGTAACTAGAGAAGACTCAAAATAGTTCTACATCAAGCAGTGTAATTTGAACGCTTAAATGAAATAATCGGCCAACAGTAGCTGTGGATTCTCTGTGTCTTCCTCGACCTCTGCGACGTCTTCCTTCCTTATTTCTTCCATTCTTCTATTCCAAATGCCATCTATTAGTTTCCATGTTTCATCGCTGATAATCTGAGTCTGGAAGGAATAAACAATGGATATAATGAGCTACTACAGAAATGAAAGACTCTACATCGAAATGTGAAAGTGTAAAGCTGTACCTCCATAGGCCTGGGAGCCCCAAAGGTGGAAAACCCAGCATTTCCAGGTGCAAAGGTGACCCTACCAGGAAGAGAGAGTCCATATATTCCCCATCTTCCAGCATAAATGAGCGCACCATACTCATCCACGGGTCTGACAGGTTTCTGCAACAATGTTCAAAACAAACAAAGGGGCACCAAAGATATCACTACAACTATTTCTCGGCATCTCGTGCAACTTCAGAAGAATAGAAGCAGAAGGCAGTCAAATGAAAAGTGTGGATTGTTTCGAGAAGCACTGAAATCCTTCCAGTAGAAAAATCAGAAATGATGAATGGAGGAGCCATGGATAGGGACAGATGGAGACCAATGGATGCATTTCTGTGTCAAACTGTCAATGCTTTTCAATAGGGATAATAATTAGCCAAAATGAAATAAAATCCTCCCATCACATTTTCCTCTGCAGCTTCAGTCCTTTAAGCAAACTTCCCAATTACTTTTCACTAAAAAAAATGTTGACTTCCCAATTATAATTTGAAAATTAAACAGATCACAATGACAGATTTAAGGTGAACAAATAATACCTCCATATTATAGAATTGTATTGTATACATTAAATTCAAAAAACTAAAATAAATGTGACCAAATCTAGAAAAGAATTATTTACGCACTGAAATCACGCAACAAGAAGAAATGACATGCAGACCTGAGCAATTCGTGGAGCTTTCCTGTATATGTCCCATATTTCATCAGCCTTGATCCATCCTTTCTCTAGTAAGACATCTAAATAGAAGAAAAAATGTGCTATTTTTCAGAACAAGATGCTAGTAACGAAGACAGGAACTTGGAATATATAATGAATTTCCTTGAGTAAACTATCTTAAGCATAAACTTCCCATCATAGTAAAGTTCCTAAAAGGCGGCAGCAGCAACAACAACAACAACAACAAGCCTTTATCCCACTAAACAATCTAAGGACTGGAGCTAATTTAAACCTAATAAAATAATATCATTTCTAATACTTTCTAACTAAATCTTTTTTAGGTCTATCTCTACCCCTCTTAATATAGGCCCGATCTAATACATCTACTCTTATAACCGAGTCATTGGAAGGCCGACGTTTTATGTGACCAAACCATAAGGCAACTCTCTCTAATCTTATCTGTCACTAGGCTCCAACCTTTTCACATATATATACTCGTTTCACATTTTGTTTCTTAATAGGCAAAGAAATTTAAAATAAAGTTCACAAAAGCAAGCAATGAATTGAGTTCCCGTGCCTGTAATTGTCTCAACTGCTGACTGGTATTCGTGCAGCACAGAAGAGCATTTCTCAACAGCAAAACGAATATACTCACTCCTGAGGAATTCCAATTTTGTTGCAAGCTGAATCCCAAAAGAATTAGATGCTAATTTATGCATGTGATCAGTTGTATTAAAATTCAGGTACCTTCCAAACTAAGCAGAGCTTAATGAACATACGTTTGGCACAAGGTCATTCAGGTTTCTATAATATGCTTTCCCAAATGCTGTCATTCCGGTTTGAAGTATCAAGAACTCGGCATGTCTTGATGCCTCAGAAGTAGCCTTCGCAGAAATCCAGCTCAAATTTTCAATCCCAAACATTTCCTCTTCTATTACCCTGGCTGTTTATCTCACAATTAGTGGAAAAAAAAGAATCAAGAGATGACGTAACAAGCAGCCAAAAAAGTAAGGCAACTGCTTTGTTGATCATGATAAAAGAGCAACATGGCATAAGATTAAAAGTAACTAGCTAAGATGCAGGAACTGTAAGTTATTTAAATTCACCGTCTACCTATATATTCAAAAATGATAAAAGGGATCTGAATTTTTGGATCTTACATATAAAACGAGAAAATGATCAAAATAGTCCAATCTTTCTATTTAAGGGGTTGAGGGATCAAAATGATCCTTTAAGATAGTTGGGGACTATTTTGATCTTTCATAAAAAGTCAAGAGATCATTTTGATCATTTTCTCCCTATAAAATATTCTCAAGCATAAACATATAAAGTAGGTAGAAACTAAATGCTTGATAAATTTCTTATAATTAAAATATTAAGCATGCTATACAAATTCCATGCACTAATCTCAATATTCCGACTCAGGAAAATTAACATGTGGAGAAGACATAAGTCATTTTAGAGAACAAAAAACAACTGCAAGCTTTGTACAGCATGCATGCTTTGTCATTATTCATAGATTTGCTGAGACTTTAATCCGAAAGAAAAGTTTCAAATAAAGTCTTTCCTTCAATCCCCACCCCCAAGATCCTCTAAAAGGGTAACGAGTCTCTATACAAATATGTGATGACTTGATAATTCTTGCTTTGATATTAGTTTTAAATTTTATTCTAGAAGATTGTGATGGGCCGAGATTTTACATTTGGCAAGATGTAAGACTTGAATATGGCAAACTCACTCATGATCTATGATGCACCGACACGAACATGGCGACACGGACACGACACGACACGACACGACACGGACATGACATTTTTTAAAAATATAGGACACGGGTGCGGCGTGGACAATCATAACATTTTTTAATATAAAATATAGAAATTGAGGTAACATTATATTAAAAATGGCAAGCAATAATAAATCAAAGTCATGATAAATTGTTTAGCTTATAACATAAAGATGTTTAGTACAAAATGTCTAGTACAACAACAAAAATATAAGCAAAAAATAATTTAGTACAACATGAAAGTCCAACTACTCAATAGAGGGAATGATAAAATTAGATTCAGAAGTTGGTCTTTGGCCTTCACTATCATCATCATTGAATATCATTGCTTCCAACTCTGGTTCATCTAGAGAAAGATTTACAACATCCAATAATCTCATATAATCAAGTCACTCGAATCCATCTCCAGCAACATCCCACATCTTGTTATCACATGTCATATAAAGTGGGGTTTTCCTTGTAGAAGATGAAGATTTATATGCACATAAACTAAATGTTCAGCCTATTGTGGAGTTATTTTATTCCTCTTTATTGATTGAATAAATGAGTATGTGCTCCAATTTCTCTCACAACAGAAAGAGGATGACACTTGACCAAGAAGTTTTATTGCTATTGTTTGAAGAAGCGGTGCTGAAGCTCCTTGAATTAACCACCACATTTTTTTATCCATCCTCTATCTATCAATCAAAGATTTTTTATCACTAAAATCCTCTAAATATCCAAAGAACTTTGCAAGTTCTATATTAATTTTTCTTCTCTCATCCTCATTTGGGAAATATCGTTTCAAGCATATCTTTCTCATATTTGATACTTCTAAATCTTTTTGTGGTGAGACACGTTGAGGGTCTTCTTGAAGTCATTCTTTACTTTAATACCTTCAAATAATACAAAGCATATAAAATTATTTATTTATTTACCAAGAAATTTAAAAATAATTTAAAAGATGAATACAAATATATATTGGATTTAATGAATGGGCCAAACAATGCAGAGGTGTGTTGCTTTTGGTCCACCTATTCTCGAGAATGGTATAGACAATACTCCAAAAACTTAAATCTTCATTATGTGACTTTCTTTGATGTCTGTATATAATATTTTTCACTTTTGTTAACATAGTGTCCCACATCTCATAAATCAAATGTAGGCATGATTTATCTGCGCCAGCCTCTCTCAACATGTCATAAATCAGATCATTGAAAGCCAAAATGTAATCTATATCATCCCACCACAAATCATCTAAGACCTTTTATTTTGCATACCTTGCCTTCCCAACATCTTCTTGATAGCATGACAATTTCTCACTAATCACCATAGATTGAAGAGCATTTTTTATTTGTTTGAATCTTCTCAACATGATTATTACAGAGTCAAAACGAGTTTCAACAACAGCTAACATTTTCAAATGTGAGAAATCATTAAACATTGAAAGTCTCATTGAGTGGTTCATAATAATTTTTTTGATCAAAATAGCATCATCTGCAACCACTGTTATCCAATGACATTCAGCATAGATGATTTCATTTCTCTTTATTATTCGCTGCACAAATATTTTTTAGAGCAAGATTTAAAGTGTGCACAACACATGGAGTCCAGAATATATGAGGATAAGTTTGTTCCACCAACAATCCTGCAGCTCTACACACTGGTGCATTATCTGTTATAACATGCATAATATTTGAAGACCCAATAATGACTATCACCTCTTTAATCAAATTGGCAATGAAATATTTATCCTTGTATTCTCCTTCACAATTCACAGCTTTAATAAATATTGGATAATTCTCTATAGCGGCCATGAAATTAATGAGTGGTCTTCTTTGAGGATCAGTCCAAGCATCACACATCAAAGTTACTCATCAAAGTGACTCCTTTTTCTTTCCACACACCATTTATTGGTTCAAGCAACGTTTCAATATGTGCTCTTTTCCTTTCCAATAATTTTGATCATAATGCATTGTAGCTAGATGGAACATAACCTGCAAGATTGTTATTACATGCAAAAATGAATGTATTTTTGTAATGAGGATTTCTTGCAAGATTGAAAGGAAGTCCAGCTGAAAAAAACATCCTTGCAATTTCACCATCCAATTCCTCTCGTTGTTGCATGATAAAAGCCTTCTCTAAAGCACTACTGGAAACTCCTTTTCTTTTCTTTGAATCATATCCTTCACTTCTATATGATAATGAATGATCAACTATAACAGATGAGAAAGAAGTGTGGGATGAACCATGGGTAGATGGCAAAGGTATCTATTTAGGAAGTGCCATTTTGATCATAGATTCAGCTTCATCAACTTGTCTGTTCAATTCAATCAACTGTGACGTACTAATCTTATGACGCATTTTAATTACATTGCCACAAAATCTTAAGTAGATGTGCTTTCACCCTAGAATAAGATCTTTTGTAGGTGTCACCACAATAATTGCATTTAAATGACACATTCCCTCCTTCAAAAGTTTTTCCAAACCTTATAACATAAATCCATAATGGCTTATCAGTTTCTACAGATGGCTCTTTTGAACCACTCCCACAAGCACTATAGCTCATTTTGCTTTTAAATTCACTGGTAAAGTAGAAGAAATAAAGAATTAATAAATATTGTCAAAAAAATTTAAAAAATAATTAAAGAACTATTGCATCATGCGTAATGCATTTAAATTCACTGGTAAGAGTAAAAGAGCAGTGAAAGTGCAATAAAAGCGCAGTGAAAGCGCAGCAAAAGCGTAGTGAAAGCGCAGTAAAAGCACAGTGAAAGCACAATAAAAGCGCTGTGAAAACACATTAAAAGCGTAGTGAGAACGCATTAAAAGCGTAGTGAAAACGCATTAAATACATGATGAAATTTAATTGTTTAAGGCAGGTTGCTTCATTGCGTCTGTGAGAAAATTTTAGGGTTTTGGCTCTTCTTGGCGGCTTCCTTTCCGGCCGCGATGGCTCTTAATCCTCTAGATTCCGCCTGCGATCTCTAAACCCGCTTCGGCTCTCCCTTTATTGCCTTTGCCCTCCTCTTTGACGCCACCTGTTATACCGGAAGGTTCGGAACAACCTCTCCCTGAACCTGCTTTACCGCCACTGCCTGAATCCATCCCTGACAAAGATCCACCTCTTCCTAACCTTAATTTGCCTCATGAAGAATCCTCTTCTTCTGAGCAACCCTTCCCACATTTGCTCATGCTTCCATCTCAAGTTGTTCTTGCGAATAGCTTTGATTCAGTGCAAGTGGATAACCTGAAGGTGTGACCTTTGAGGAGGAACTCTCTTCCTCCTCTAAAACTAACGATGGTCCTCCTCCCAAAACTTCTAACTCCAAAGCCTCCTCCTCCTCCACTAAACCTTCTTATGGGAAAAACAAATCGCCTTCCAAAAAAGCCAAAAACCCAAATCGGCCAAAATGGCCAAAAACCCCAAGTAACCCATGTCTCTGCCCGCAATTGCTGCTTGGAATGTTAGAGGGTTTAATAACCCTGTCAAAGCCAAGTTGTGTAAAGACTTAATTGCCACCTACAATCTTAAGCTTTTAGGCATTCTAGAAGCTAAAATACACCATTCTTCTGTTTCCGACCCTTCGTTTTCTTTTCCCCATGTTTTATTTGAGAATGAGAAAAGTTGTGACAATTTTTCCTGTTCTACCCCTGGTAGAATTTGGATTAAATGGGATTCTGCCCATTTATCTTTCACCCCTTCTTTCACCTCTTCCCAAGTTATTCATGGCATTGTTGAAGCTGGCTCTTTACCCCCTATTTACCTTTCTGTTGTTTATGCCGCTAATGTTCTGGAAGATAGGAAAGCTTTATGGGATGATCTTCTTGATATCTCGGCTAGTATTGACCTTCCTTGGATTGTCATGGGGGATTTCAACTGTTGTATATTTGATTGTGAAAAAGCTGGTGGGAACTCTTTGTCTACTGATAAATTGGGAGAGCTTAATAATTTTATGTTTGATTCTAGCTTACAAGATCTTGCTTCTGTGGGGTTTTTTTATACTTGGTTTAACCAAAGGATTGATTCCCCCATTCACATTAAGCTTGACAGAATGCTAGTTAACTATGCTTTTTTGGATTTATTTCCTGCTGCTTACTACAAAGTTGATTCCCCTTCTGGTCGGATCATTCCCCTTTGATTCTGTCTGCTACACATGTGAAAAGAACCTTCTCTA